GACAATCCCTCTATATTGCTAGTTACTACTTCGGCTGTCCTTGCAGATCTACAGCTCCAGACAATCCACTGACCGGGCACCAGCTGAAAGTTCCCTGTTGGACTGCTGCATAACTGGTGCTGATCTTTAGTATTTCGTTATGTACAGTGTCTCTTGTGTATCAAATATTGTCCGCTGGCCACTGCCTTCTACAGTCATGTGACTACCTTACTAGTAAGAATTTTGGCGAAGTGCTTCGTCTTATAATTATGATTAGCTTAGGCCATGGTTGAGGCGTGGCTCGCTAGCTGCACACTCACGCGACAGCCAGTAAATCCACCCGACCGACCAACCGACCGACCGACCGAACGACTGGACAACGACCGACGGCGACGACCGAGGAATGACAACGACGGCAACGACGACCGACCGACCGAAAGAATGACCGATCGACCCAGCGGCCGAGCGACCGAGCGACCGACGACGGCGACGACCACGAACGATGACAACGACGACGGCGACGACGATGACCGACCGACCGACCGACCGACCGACCGACCGACGACGACGACGACGACGACGACGACGACGAGCGGTCGACGACGACGACGACGACGTCGACCCACGGCGACGACCGACAACAGACAACGACGACGGCAACGACAACCGACCGACCGACCAACCGACCGACCGACCAACGACGACCGAACGACGAGGACGACGACCGACGGCGACGACCGACGTACGACGACGACAGATGACCAACCAACAGCGACGAACGACGACGACGACGAAGACAACGACGCACCGACCGACCGACCGACGACGACGACCGACGACACAAACGAACGCCGTCACCAGTTCCTAGAAGGCCAAATCTAGAAGGCCGACCGCGAACGGCGGAGGTCGAATTCTAGCACGCACCGGCCGGGTAAAAGTCTATAAGGGAGCGCTTCGAGGACGCGGCCCCCACCTCCCCCTCCCCACCCACCCACCCCGGAGACGGGGGTTCCGCTTGCAGTAATGTATCAGGGAGGGGCGGCTGCGGGCGAATGTACCACCTCGGGCGGCTCCGAGTCCTGCCAAAACCGATGGTTTTCAGCAGGGCTGAACCTAAACGGTGTTTTTCGTTTTCGTTGTGTTTTCGTTTTCCCTCGTTTTGTCTAAATCCGCCTTTACCGCAAAACGGAATCGAAACGAAAACGGCCCACGAAATCACCAAAACACCGTTTAGGTCCACCCCTGGTTTTCAGACCACCGGCTGGGGACGAATGAACCCGAATGAACCGCGAATAAAACCACGAATGAACCCCGAATGTACCAGTATGTACCGCCGACTGAACCCTCCCCAGCGCCCTAGACGGACCCCGACTCAAACACACAGACGTCGTCGTCGTTCTTAGTCGGCCGTCGCCGTGGTTCGCCAGTGACGCTAATCGTCGTTCGTCGGTCGTCGTCCTGAGTCGGTCCGACGGTCGTCGTCGTCCTCCTCGTCGTCCTGAAAAATTCCACTACCAACACTAGTCACCTGACAGTAGGGGCAGAGTTTGCCCGATAGAAACACGCATAAGAATAGACCATGAAAATGAGCGCTTCCCCCTCAGGCCACCTAGCCACTTTGGGGTGTCCCAAGATTCCCATACCAAGAGGCCTCAACACGCTTTCCAGACGGCCCCGAAAAGGCCCCGAAGGAGTCGAGGCCCCAAGACGGCCCAAGAAAGCTCTACGGTTGCCCCAAGATGCTCACCTTCTACCCGCTATAATTATGGCTTGCTGTGCTCCTCAGAGTTGGAGATCAGTGGGGTCATTGGGTTGCGCACCGCAAACAAGCCCATGAGCAATTCATGTCTGCTCCAGAGTGATGATATCCTGCCCGAACGGAGGCCGATGGGATCAGGGTCAGTTCCCATTCTTGATGGATGTAGCTGGCTGAAACCATCTCCTCTCGTGTCAGATCTTATCGAACACCGGTCGCAGTGAGAGGTGCACAGAACGCACGCGACTGGGCCAAACGGACGGTCTCAGTTGAAGCCCCGGTATTTACCCAGGCAGCTCCAAGGTGTCCCCCGAAGCCCCCAGGATAGCCCCAAGAGCCATCGACCAAAAAAGATCCCGGCAAACCCAAGAATGGCCGCAAGATCGTCCCAAGATGGCCCTGCCTGGAGGTCCAGCCGGCAGAGGGTGCGGCTCTCCTGATATGTCGAACACGCCCTGACGATCCATGCAGTGAGCGATTCGAGGCACGCAGCCGCTGTTGAATGCGCGCATACTTCACTACCAGGTAGCACGGTGGGTCGCTTTGGCATGGCCACCTTGCACCAGACCCAGGTGGGGCATGCGATTTGGTTTGTAGTACAAGCGCATCACGAGCACGGCATATCATGACACGTAACAGAGAGCAGCAGCAACAGCGGCTGAAAACACAGGTGCCGATCAAAGGGCCTTCTTGAGACGCTGGACATAAAACTTCATCATGATGTCGTACCAGTGAGAGTTGATGCCCATGTGCGAGTGAGAAATCCTGATCCCCACGTCGTACCAACGAGACAGCCAGTCACAGAGCTGCAGGCAGAGAACACGATGCTGGGAGCGCGCACACATGTAGAGGTTCCCCAAGGAGCCCACAGGATTTGGCGCCCAGCTTCTGATTTTTCTCCGCTAGGAGCATGGGAGCGAGGGAGGGAGACGGAGAGAAGCAGGATTCTCACCGAGTCCTGCTTGCCCAAGGATGTACGTACTGTCACAAGCCACCTCCCCAGACCACCGCCGTCGCCATGACTTCGCGACGCGGGACCTGGAGATCTGGATGCATCCGGACTAGAGTTTTTTTTTTTTTATTGGATCACCGGATCACCGGATCAATGAACCACTTCACCGGATCAGCCGGATCAGCCGGATCAACCGGATCAGCCGGATCAACCGGATCAGCCGGATCAACAGGATCAACCGGATCAGCCGGATCAGCCGGATCAACCGGCCGGATCACCGGATCAGCCGGATCCACCGGATCACCCAGATCAGCCGGATCAGCCGGATCACCGGATCAGCCGGATCAACCCGATCAGCCGGATCAGCCGGATCACCGGATCAGCCGGATCAACCCGATCAGCTGGATCAGCCAGATCAGCCAGATCAGCCAGATCAGCCGGATCAGCCGGATCAGCCGGATCACAGGATCAGCCGGATCAACCGGATCAGCCGGATCAGCCGGATCAACCAGATCACCGCGCCAGATCACAGGATCAACCGGATCAACCGGATCAACCGGATCAACCGGATCAGCCGGATCAACCAGATCAGCCGGATCAACCGGATCAACCGGATCAACCGGATCAGCCGGATCAACCGGATCAACCGGATCAACCAAATCTGCCAGATCAACCGGATCAACCGGATCAGCCGGATCAGCCAGATCAACCGGATCAAGAAGATCAACCAGATTAGCGGGATCAACTAGATCAACCGGATCAGTCGGATCAGCTGGATCAGCTTGACCCGCCGGATCAGCCGGATCAGCCAGACCAGCCAAATCAGCCAGACGGATCACCGACGGAACTGTTGCAAACATTTCAAGACGGATGTGCGCGGCGCCAACGCGAGAGCTCCATTTTGAAAACGACCCGCCCTCGATCCGTGCAATTGTTTCACCTTTGAAAACATATGTGCGCGGCGCCAAGGCGAGAGCTCCATTTTGAAAACGACCCGCCCTCGATCCGTGTAACTGTTGAAAGCTTTTGAGACGGATGTGCGCGGCGCCACGGCGAGAGCTCCATTTTGAAAACGCCATGCCCTCGACCCGTGTAACTGTTGCAAACTTTTAGGACGGATGTGCGCGGCGCCAAGACGAGAGCCCCATTTTGAAAACGACCCCCCTCCATCCGTGCAACTATTGCAAACTTTTAAGACGAATGTCCGCGGCGCCAAGGCGACAGCCCCATTTTGAAAACCGACCGTCCTCCATCCGTGTAACAGTTGCAAAATTTGAAGCTTCAGGGTCATAAATGGCGAAGAAGTCTCAAGCGAAACGCCCGGCACGCCCGAAACAGACGTCAGATGGTGCGACAGGGAGAAATTATCATTAATAAGGAGAAGGGATGGCGGAGGAGGAGGGGAGAGGAGGAACGGATGGAGCGGGAGAGGGGAAGTACTTATGATTTATGATGATGATGAGGACGGTCACTATGATTGGTAGTGATGAATATAAGACGAACCATCACGTTGGGCCTGCCAAAAAACAAACCGTCTCCCATGGCATTCGTGTCCGTACGCGCGCCACAATGGGTCTGCGAGCAACACTCTTGTTTCGATCGCCACGACATGCCTGCGAGCACCACCTGCGCGGTTAGCCAGCGGGCGTTGCCACCCCAACATTCCAAATATGCTCTCGCCCTCGCGAAGAGGACTGCCCTGGCAAGGACTATTAGTATGAGGATAGGTCGGAGGAGGACGAAGACAGGCAGGAGGAGGGCGACAATCACGCGGAAACGCAGGCAACGGGAACAGGACAAGCATCGGGACGAACTTGACGAAAGGGTGGGCACGTTTTTCTTCGTCTCCGGGCAGCACGGCGCAAGGATCGGAACAGGGCGCGCTGCTCAACTAGCAGATCTTGCAACAGTTCATTCGCAGGCCCGAAGCGCGGGCACTGGTCAGGGAGGTGGAGGACGACGACGAGGACAAGAAAAAGGAAAGCAAAAACCGATGCAAGAGGCGGGCGGCAAGGAGGAGCCTTCCGCCTCTATCCACGGTCTACACATGCAGCGCTGCACCGCCGCCTGCTCTCGCCCCAGTAGCACGTGCGCGCGGCGCATGGAATACGCACCCCGGCATTTACAAGCCTCCGCCCCCGTCGCGAGGCAGAGCTGGCTGGGCCGCGCTCCACGCGCGCAGCAGGGAGGTCATGTGCGCCGGACTGCCGCGGAGAATCCACAACTGTTGGATTTGCAAAACGAAGATTCCGAGGGTTGTCTGCCCCCCGGCAATACTCGGCAAGGCTCCCTTCAGTTGCCTACGGGTGTGAACTCGCAAGAACAATGTCTTGAATATCATCTTCGCACGGTCGGGGCTCATAGTCGCGACGGAACGCCGCAGCAGCAGGAGCTCCAACTCGCGGCACAGCGAGTCGATGTCAGTAGTCCCCGATGCTTTCTGCACACCTGCCTGAGCGCACACGAGCGCGAGCTCTCGGCCGACGCGCAATCCATGGCGGATGCGCGGGGTCAACAGGTTGGCCAAGTGCTTGTCGATCAGAGGCGTTACCAATGGAACCGGGCGGCTCACCCCGGGCCCGACGCCTCCTCCGACTCGCGGACATGGCCCCTGGCATCCTGGGACCAGCTCGGCGGCCCCGAACTGCACACAGCCGCGGTGAAGAACGCCCGAAAGCAATCCACCTCCTCGGTCCACTCCAGGTCGGACTCATAGCCCCAAGCAAGCGAAGCCTTGTGCACCGTGGCGTCGAGCAAGTGGGCCAAGCGTTCCACAAATACCCGGGGAACCTTCGCTGCGCCCTTCCGCTTCGCCGTCCTGTTGGCGGCGGCTGCGGGAAAGACGCGATCCCACACCGGGTGGATGACAGCGTCGGCCCGTCCCACAAAGTCCTTCAACGACTCCTCGCACGCATGCCCCGCCACAGAGCCCTGGATGCATTTGCGAGCGGCGCCCGCCCAGCGATCCAGCAACGCGCGCAGATGCACGGCCAAAGCGCCCACGGCTTGCCATGAACCACCGGGGTAGTCGCGCCGCGCATCGGCAGGTCGATCCGGGTTGTTGTGGCGCGCAATCATGTCGCGGTGGCAGTCTGACCCCAAATGGAAATCGGTGCTGTGCTTTGGTGCATACTTCTCGAAATGCCAGTTCAGGTGGTTCCCGTCCTTGCCGACCTGGAAACCGTCTGCAAGCAATTGCCGACGGTCGCCGAAGTCCGCGACGCCGTGAAATTCTTCGCGCACAGCTTCTTTCAGCCCGGCCTCGAATCCCAAGGTGTCCACAAAGGCGCCCACAGGGAGCCCACTGTTGGGCACGCCCAACTCTGACGCCTGTCGACGCAAACGCGCCAACTTCGGCTTCAGGCTCATCTTGTACGCCCGGTTGGTTTCCTGGCGGATGAGCTCCGGCACGGAGAGCAGCACGCCCCGGGCTCCAATGTGGAGCAACACGCCCGTATAGAGCCGCACGGCGCGACTCTTCCGCCCCCTACGGGAGGGGAGCTGAACTCTAGTGACAATTACCTTCGCTAGCTTCACGCACACATCGGCACCAAATATGGCACCATCTGCCAACCAAGCTTCGCTCTCGATCTGTTCGCAGAGCCCGTCTAGGAAGCACCCCACGAAACGCTCGACCAGGCCGACGAGCACATCATGGCCGCGCAGGGCGTCTAGAATCCACGGAACCGCAACGGCGCCAGCAACATCGCCGGTCTCGTCGGTCACGTCGGTTCGGAGGGCGCGGCCGGCCCCGCTGCCGCCCTGGGCCATCCCCACTGACGCAAGGCCCCAACGTTCTGCCAACCAGGTCTTCATCTCGGTGACCTGAGGGCGCAGAACGAAATGCGAGGCCAGGACGATCATGAACCACATAGTGTAGTACGTCTGCCCCGCGAGGAACACGGCGTCCATGCCCTCCATCTTGGGGAAGTACATGTTCACGTCCGCCAAGGTTGGAATTTTCTGGTAACGGCGAGTGCGCTCCCCGTCCTCCCCGCGCGGGGCGTCCCTGCAGGCCGCGCAGTGGTAGAAAGCCTTTCGAATGGCCCGCGGAACGGGCTCATCCAGCACCCACATGACATTGCTCAACCCGCACTTCGTCGGCGAGTGGCCGTCTGCTGCGCACGCAGCCAGCGCTGACTGGGGCAGCACCACCAGGACGTCCAACCTATCAGCGCCGACAACGCTGTCATGGTCATGAGGTAGCGGCGGCAGCGCCTGCTCCGAGAGCCCCGGCATGGGCGCCGCGGCAGTGGAGTAGATGAGCGGGGGCTCCCGCGTCACAAATACGGAGTCCGCCGCGTGCCAATCCACGAAGACGCCGGCTTCGCTCACCATATCCAGCGAGACAATGATCTCTTCGCCGAGGACGTAGCCAGCGCCCCGCGGGGCCATGCTGGTAGAGGCGACAACATACCGGCCGCCGCCGCCGCAACCACCGCCCCGCCACTTGGCGCGACCGCCAGCGATGACCAACTCACCACCGTTCAATTTCAGCTGCCAACCTCGGGCCACTGAGGACCGCCACCAGTCTCCCGATGTTTGGGGGGAAGACCCTGCTGTGGCGCCAGGCATTGATGCGACAAAGGGGATGTTCGCCAATGTGAGCCGCCGTAACAACTCGAATCGGTCATTGCGAGCTCCGCACGTCAATCTGTCAACGCCTGCCATCCATGCGGTGTCCGGCACTGCTTCGGACGAGCTCGGCTTCAAAGATGCGCTGTCACGGCCAGGGCGAACCAGATTGAGAACTGCATCGCGCCGCACAGCACGCCGAACGCGTTTCGGCAAACCACCGCCGTCTTCAAGCCTG